AAGTCAGACTCGTTGTAAGCCTCAGCTATTATAAACCTCCATCATTTTCGCGCTCCTTTAGGTGATTTAAAGTGGTGCACTTCCACACTTGCGGCCTCACCCCCTGCACATGGAACCTACGCTTGTCACGTGTAAGGTGCGACCGATCTTTGAGCACTCACTCACCCGCTCATTGTTTATATCCGCGAGGAAGATGCTTTTGTTCTTGTATTCGTCCTCATGTAAAGGATCGTGCCAAATAATGAGCTGCTACCACTCTGCAAGTGTAAGAAAGTAGCAATAAAAAATAAGAAATGAATGAGCAAGAGGGGAAAGGTATCGATCACCACACTGGGTACCTCAAAGTGAGACCCACTAAGACCTCCCCCCTTGAAGGAGGGTATCGGTACGACCTCCTCCCTTCTCCAACACCTACCTACCACTTTCAAGTTCCCAGCTTCCTACCAATTTTTCCAAAATTTCCTACATTTCCAGTTTTTCACCTAAAAATTTTGCTGTCGAGCTAGGTGGGGGAGTGTATAGTACACATGAAACAGGAAAAATCACGAAAAGTCAACAACCGGGAAAAATTTTTCCCAACGCGGCAAATTTCTCTCAAAGCCACATACGACCCCTCCCTCTCCCAACAACGACCAAATACGACCCCCTGCGGCCAGTGCGACCCCACATGTGTTTCACACAACGATGCTGCCTATCCCATGCTCGTCGTATGGGCCCTGTGCACCCATACGACGAGCATGGGATAGGCGGCGCAGTTCAGCTTGGTAAGCTACTTAGCGAAGCTAGTTCACGCTCCTTGAGGAGATCTGTAAATTCTTCTAACCGCAGTGGCTCAATTGTACTATTGGGCCACTTTGCAGAAGTTCACAGGAACTAGCAAAAAGAGCTATTTCGCAAAGCACTTCTCTCAAGCCGTATACATCTGAGAATGACCCATGTACACTAGCATTAACCTTCAAGCACTTACTGATGTTGAACATAATAATTATAAGCGCCGAAGTCGAGTAGCCTCCGAATCATATTGCAAAGTGTTGTGTCTCCAGGGCAGTAGGGAAGGCCAAATACTCCTTGATGTTGACCGCCGACTGAAAACAAAATTGCACTCTGATGATGTTTTTAGATGATTATTAAAGACGGGGAACGGTTAGGACTCCACGAGAGGTCAACCTGCCGCCGCGACGCGGCAGTTTTCGCTATGTGCGCGGCGTTTGCATAGTCCATGAGATTTCCAACAGTCTGCTTTATTACTTGCAGGTGTGAAAACTATGAAAGGAGTAGGAGTGGTAAGCCGGATGCTGAGCGCAGGATAGCCAGTGGTTAAGAAAAGGCGGCTCGTGTTCGCAACCACGACTAAAGGTAGGCTCTATCAATAACTGCCGAGGCACAAACCATGCCTTGCAAAAATTGCAAAAATGGAGACGTTACCAGCGTCAGGCCCAGGTTGACAGGCCGGCTGATGGAGAAACCCGTCACAACAATCATGACAAGTCGCAAAAGTAATCAGTGTAAAAGCTAGGACGTCACCCGGAAGTGGCGCGCAGAACCCTCGCCCGAGTTCTGTGGTCAGTATGCGAGGGCTACCGAGGGGTGAACGACCTCGGCCAAAGAAGCTAGAGCGGACCCTGCGACGGCGCGGGACTAACGCTAGGGAGAAGAAGAAGTGAAAATGTACAAAACCCGGCGTGCTGGCCTTCATACAT